GGTGAAGAAGCTGAATGGCTTCGAAATTTCTTAGAAGACATTCCGTTATGGCCAAAACCTTTGGCTCCTATTTGCATACATTGCGATAGTGAGGCTACAATAGGACGGGCAGGGAGCGTTATGTATAACGGAAAGTCTCGTCATATACGACGAAGACATAACACCGTTAGACAACTACTTTCTAGTGGAATTATCACTATTGATTATGTAAGATCAAAGGATAATGTGGCGGATCCGCTTACAAAAGGCTTAACTAGAGAGGGAGTTGAGAAATCATCCAAGGGAATGGGACTATGGCCGAGGACAAGTCAACATGGCGGTAACTCTACCTAGAATTTTGGATGTTCCGAGATCTAGGTTCAAGGAGCTCAAACAAAGTTGTGATTGACCGGTTCAACATTGTCAAAGTAAAATCTTTGGTCCATTCTCGTGATGAAGACAATGTTCAGTAACAAGGATAGAACTTTACACGTTCTTTAATGATTACCTAAGTTTGATGTGGTATTTATCAAATAGTGTCAATCTAAAGGATTACACGTTTAGGAATCACCTATGTAAGTGTGAAGTGGAAGCCGCTTCAATGAGAATTCTATAAGGCCAATTCTCTACGCACTTATGAAACCAGGCGGTGTTCATGGCTGAAACGAACACAACAATGAGAATAAAAAGACGGTTAAGGGTTGGTTGTGTGACATATGGTTGTCTAGGTATACACTAAAGTTCGACGGTTCAAAGATATCAAATCTACCGGTTAACCGAGTATATCCGACATATGTTCACTACGGAAAGTTCAAAGGGAAACCTACTTATCCAGATGCGATTAATCCTTACTTGCAAATCACACAGCTTTCATCTATGATCATTCTTGTTACAGCCATTCCCATTCATGTGGGGGATTGTTGGACTTTAAAGGCATTGGACTTCAAAGACTTTAAGCATTAGGGCTTTAAAGTCTAAGAGTGTGAATTGGAAATGGTGGGAAATAAAATGGAGGGAAATGAAAATTTGAATGAAGTGAGCTTTTGACTTGCACTTTGTCCCTCATTGGTGAGGGACAACTACATTTGTGTGCTTATATATAGAATCACTTCTTAAAGCTCTTAAAAGGAGTTGAAGAGAATGAACCCTCGCGCCGTCGTCGTCGCTCGGCTCGGCTTCGGATTTGGATTTGTCAAATGATCGATCGATAAGATTATTTTTGGACAAAATTTATTTAATTAATTATTTAATAATTAATTAAATGTCAGATCACTGCTGAAGATTCAGAAGGATAGTCTGGCCGCGGTCCTGGCGTAACTGCGGTAGGACCGCGCCAGAACACTTCTGCAGATTCAGAGGACCACTCTGGCCGCGGTCCTGGCGTAACCGCGGTAGGACCGCGGCAGGACGCGTAAAATCTGAACAGACACCTTTTCCAGAACAGACATCACACCTCTTCCAATAATTGCCTATAAATTCTGAGACATGGCTTCGTTTTTAATATACAAAAACACACCAAAACACTACAGAACTTCCTTCTTTCTGAAAAAATACTGCATTCGAATTCGCAGTCTCTCTCTCTCAAATTCGTAAGTGTGATTTTGCTCCGTTCTTTGAGTTCGTTGGTATCCCGCAGTTT